TGCTGCAGGTCACGTTTCCGGTCTCACAACTTCTTATTTGGTTCAATCTCTAATGATCTATTTAAATCCACAAGTGATTCATGATATCTTTCAATATGTAAATAAAGTAAACCACGACAGTGTAATGATTTTACGTTATCTGGATCAATTTCTAATGAACTATTTAAATCTTCAAGCGATTTCTCATATTTACCCATCTCTTAGGTTATTTAAGGCCATTACATGATTATGTTCGATCTTTAATTCTTTATTTAAATCTGCAAGTGACTCTTCATAATTACCTAAAATTTGATAAATATTTCCACGATTATTTAATGCCACCACAAATTTTGGCTGTACTATTTTAATCTGAAAGCGATTCTTCAAATCTTCCCATGTCTTGACATGTTAATCCGCAATTATGTAATGCTTTTGCACTATTCGGTTCTATTTCTAATGATCTATTTAAATCTACAAGTGATTCTTCATATTTACCCATACCTTGATAAGTTATCCACGGTTATTTAGTGCCGTCGTATGCCTTATTCAAATCTTTAAGAGACTCTTCATATTTAAATAACGTTCGATAAAGGTCACCACGATAATTTAATATTGTTGCATTGTTCAGCATAATTTTTAGTGCCTTATTAAAATCTTCTAATGAATCTTCATGTTAAAATAAATTGCTCCACGGTTATATAATGAAAAAGAATCATCTGGATTAATTTTTAATGATTTATCTAAATCCACAAGTGATTTTTCCGTCAGATTATTTTCTGGCCTCTTTCTCAAAGATAGAAGCATTTATTTTGCTTTATAAAACTTAGAAAAAATTAATAAGGGTTTATAAAGTTTATTAATCGCACTACAGTTGCTATAATTATAAATACTTACATTCTTTTTTTAAATTTCTTGAATTGAGATAAGTTTAAGTCGTTTATTTATTCGATTTAAGGTTATTTAAAAGTTAAAAATTTTATTAACATAGATTATTTGTTTTAAGATGTAAAGTATTTTCGTTGAAGTGTGCTGAATACGCATACTAACAGGTAACTAGTCGCGTATAAGGATGGGATGTTAAATTGATCCGATCTGGATCATGAGAACAAGAATTAATGGTCCGATCTAACCAGAATTAGAATTATTTTCTATAACGCAGATATGATCATTGTATCATTTTAACATCCCTAGTTCAGTAGTTACTATATCCGTCAACAATTGATGATTTTGCTGTTGATTTAATTAATAGTTGTTGGAATGAAAATCCAATCCAGAAGATCGATAAGAGGCTTTTGTTTTGCGTAATAATTTTTCTAAATATAAAGAAACATGAACTGAAATTGACAAAAATCAGAAATTTGAAATATCTCCAACGTAAGCCCCTTTAAATTACAAGAAATCTGAACAAACAATCTATATCAGTAGACCAGTACAAGGTAATATTAATTAATATTATTATTTCTACAAAATTATCACCATATTGGCATATTTTAATTATATTTTGAACCTTCTGTAGATTAATCAATAATTAGAAGAATAATTTTTGTTTTTATACGTTTTATATTATTTTGTAATTTGCAATATAAATTATTTATTTTATTTTGTCCTTTATATAACTTGTATATTTAAACAGCAAGAGAAAGCAAAATTTTATGTATATAAGGGTAGTGACAAATATTATGTACTATATCTCCTTACCTTCCTACAAACAGACATAAGAGAAATTTGATTGGCATAATTAAAATTTATATACGTGTACAGTATAAGGCCACGCGCACAGTTCACCGACACATCTTTTTTCAATTTTTCAACAAATCATTTTATTTAAGTCACAATTATAACAATTATTCCGATGTCACCCGGTGGAGACCTTAAGTTTCCGGAATACCCCGATAGAACCGATAGGAAAAAAGAAAAATATTTGATTCCATATTATGTAACTTTGCATACCTTAGATGTGAACATGAGTCTAATTTTACAATGGATTAATTTAAAAAAAAAATCAACTTTATGTGGCCTAAGTCAAGATAATACGTAATGTTTGTCACTACCCTTAGTACATATAATTTTAAAATTTTAAATATATTGATATTAAAATTTCTTTAACTACTGTACAACTTATGTTTTAATAAAAATTTAAGTTTACAAGCCAAAATTGAATTTAGTTAATTATTAGGAAACGTATCACTTCACCTACAATAACTTCCTGGCATATTTATATTGCGAATTTCTTAAAGGACATTATTTATAAAAATTATCCTCTGTTTCCGTAATGAACTAAAGCAAAATGAAATAAACATTTATAAATGAGAGCCCGTTTTTTGTCTTGATAAGCCTAGCTAAAATCGATAAAAAAAAATTAAGGTTTTAATTAAAACAAGGTTCAAGGATATATTGAGAGAGTTTTATTACGTTATTCATACTATATAATTTACAAAATATTTTGTTACATACTGTAATAAAATAAACTTTATAATTGTTCTCCAAAGTAAGGGGAAATAATCTAAATGCACCCTCCCAAATGCATGGCTTCTCTAAATGCTAGCCTAAATATACTGTAGAAATATTTCTCCATATGTGCATTTCTCTAACTTCTCTAAATGCTCATTCAATTTTCATAATTTTTACGGTATTTATAGTTGCTAACAATGATACAGTATATAAAGGATAATAAATTCCAATATTTATAATTGTTATCATTCTTTTACTTTTATTTCGCTCTTCATTTGGCAACTTTTTATTTAAATTTTTGTTCTATTTCAGCTAATTTTATTTGAAATAATTTTGTTAAAATGGAAAAATTATTAGCTTGTTCGTCAACAATAACAATGAATAGTCCTTTTAAGATGTTTAATATTAATGAGAAAACTAGAAGCCTTGATATTAAATTCTATTTATTACTATAAAAAAATCTAAGCTTCCACGATTAACCCGAATAAATTAGCAATAGTTATATCCTGGGCAGTTGGGTATAACTGATCTATGCCCTGCGATCTTGATATAGTGATGTTGCATCTAAAGTAGCCACCCTATCTAAAGTAGCCCTGGGCTAGAATTACGATTTAGTGCATATTTATACCTTCCCATCTCTACGAAAAATTGAATCATAATCAGAATGTAATTAAGGATTTAAATCATTATACAGAAAAATGGATTATTAATAAATACGGACTTTGAATGTGCCTAACTACTAGTATTTGGGATCGTCTAAATCTAGATATATAGTATATATTTAATATGCGTCACGTGATTTAAATTTACAACTTTGTTAGTAATCAATTTAAAAACTAACTGTCTTTAGACGACCTTTAATGTTAGATAGATTCAATTAGCTGACATTTTTCTTTCTACCGTAAATTATTCTCATCTAATTTCTGCATTAGTGTTACACATTACGTATCTAACATTAGGCAAGTTTTCGCTCAAAATGGTTTGTAAATGTTAGATAAAAGTAAATTTGACAACCGAACAATTTTAAGAGCGTTAAATAAATAAATAAATAAAAATAAAGAATTTTAGGGATTTTTTTTTATATAATATACATGAATTAGATATAATTTTCTGATTTCAGTTCTCACGAGGTTTTCTGGGTCCTGGACATTACTTAGAGTACCCGATCCCGTTTACTTAGTACTACGTTTTTAAGATATAAGCACCCGGTGATGATCATTAAACAGCTATTTTCGGTTTAAAAATAAATAATTACGTAATAATTACATAATCTGTTATAAATTTTACACATCTTTACGCGCGAAATTTATAAGATAACCCCTATTTGTTTATGTCAAATCTGCCTTATTTCGTTTCACTGAGACAGCCAACGCCTCGCCAAGTGACAATTTACTAAAAATCTAATAAAATGATAACCCTAACCCTATGTGATGTCGGTTGAATGAACTTTCGATGAATTGACGGTGAAGTGAGCAACACTGATTTAAATCTTGTTACGTGGTTTTTTTTTCGCTGTCTGATTAATCAGTTCAGATCGTAAATCATAGAACTGACAATTTTTATATCTCCGCTTAATACAGAATTGTGATACTTTAAAGCATCTTCGCTATGTAAATACTTAGGCATTATTAAACCTTCTATAAGCTTGATCTCAAGCACTTTCAACGAAAAGATAATATTTATTTATATACGCTTTTTTTTTTTTAATATTGAAGTAAAATCATACGATAATTTTTTTCAGGTGTTCAGAGAATTATGAAAATAAATGTTATACAATAAACTTAATTAGATAAAATGTTTTATGGAAATGCAGAAATATTGGCTTCGGAAAATATTATAGCCGGAAAAGTTCATTGTTTTTGTTCTCAGTCGTAATTGAAAAACTCTTGCTCAAATCCTTGGTAACAAATTTTATATTAATTGAGTTCACGAATATTCGAATAAAGAAGTGATCAAACCACCTAATAACTCCTCTGCGTAATGTACAGTACATTGTATAACATGCAAATGGTTAATTATATCATAATAATAATAATAACAGTAACAGTTATTGTATACAAAATTACATAAGCACATACATATGTGCGTACATACGTAATACTGTAATAAAAGTCGAATTGAAATTCGTAAAAATTTGAAAAAAACAAATGAAAAGCTTAGTTTAAAAACATTTAATTAAGTTCATCTGAAATCTATTCAATATATAATTATTAATTAAATGTATAAAATATAAACGCTGAATATGGGGATCAAATTACACTTTTACCAGGATAAAATCAATTTTTAAAAAAAAATTCAAAATAGTTCCCTAAATATTAACACGTTAATGCATGTATATAAATTTTTTGCTAAATCAAGCTAATACGTAATTGATTATTCCCCTCTTCATTGAATCAATTAAATAATTAGCCTTTATTGTCTCATTGAATTGATTAAATACGTAAATAGCTTTTATTGTCTTTAAATTAATTAAATAAATAGCGATAGCTTTTATTGTCTTTTAATAGTTTTTTCGTTCCCTTGTAAGTTTATATTATATATCACCTCGTCACCTTTGAACAATAGAGATAATGTCAAGCAAAAGTGAGAATTCGGATTTTATTGACATGGTCTACAATTATGACTGGTCTTCAACTCAGTTTGGTCCTATGGATACTTGGGATCCTGCTCTCAGAAATGCTGCGGTAATTCGAGCTCGTACATGTGTTTTTTTTTTTTTAAAAAAAAAAAAAATTCGTAAAACTTAAAAACTTTTCTAAAATAATATGTTTAATATTAGAATTTATGTCTCAGAACTGAGTTTCCTATGTGTATCTATTTCGATCCCCCAAATTGGGCATTGTTATATAATAATGGTAACCTAATTTTATAGTTTATTTGCCTTAATCTATTTATTTAACATACTGTAAGTACAGTATCTAATCTTATTTGCTCATAGCTTTTGTACCAATATTAAAAAAAAAACATCCCGGTTAGTTATACCATTTCATACTCTATATATGATTATATGTTTATAATAAGCATTTTTAATAACGTAGTATCTTTATGAATGTTAAAATAGCATTGGGAAAGCTGGCTAAAGATATTTGGCCCGAAATATTTGAGACTTATATGAATACAAGGTTTAATCGGTAAGTGATGCTGTAATTTTTAAGGATATTTAATTCATAATATTAAATTTCTCTTGAATTGCAATACTGTAATATATTAGTGTAATAACAACCGGCAAAGGTTTTTTCGGATGCGATCTACGTTGTAAAGTACAACGTGATGAATATGATGAAGATGCTTACTTTACCTATACATATAGCCCAATTTTTAAATCTGATGGTACAATCTGTGCTTTGTGGTGTTTAGCGCAAGAAACTACTCAAAAAGTTTTAAATACTCGAAGACTTAAATTACTTGAAGATTTTGGTCATCTTACTTCTAGTTAGTACTCATATAATTGATTATCGCTACAATTTTTATATTTATGTAATTATATATCTATTAATATGTTTTGTATTTCATAATATTTCTCAGACATTGAATCCTTAGAAAGTGCTTGCGATATTATAACAAAAAAGTTAAAAAACAATGAAGATATTCCTTATACATTTATTTACTTTGTAAAACATAATTTAAATACTAGTTCTGAATCTTCTTTAATCGCTCATTTAATCTCTACGACTTTTGATGATGACGACAAAGAAAAAAGACATATTCCTGATTATTTACCAGAAACCCATGAAATAATTGATTTATCTAAAGATGTTAATAAGAGCTATGGTACATATATAGAACTAAAACGAAGTACTGCAACTTATTCGTTCTTAAAATGTAATTCTTGGCCAATATACCTTGTATTAAAGGAAGGAAAAAATGTAAAAGTTCTTTTAAATGACGAATCTCAGGCTATACTCTTCTCGAGAAAAATTTATATTGACAATGATCATGTAATGTCGGTGGTATTAATTTATGGTATTAGTCGATTTTGTGCACTTGATGATCGATATATGGAATTTTTTAACGTATGTAGTAATTTTATATTATAATTTTATATTTATTGTATTAAAAATATATTTAAAACATTTATATATTTTATAATTTTTAGTTAGTCACGAATCAAATATACGAACTTTTGCAACATGGAAAGTCCGCTGAAGATGAAAAGATGCAAATTAAAATATTGACTGATTTGAATTACCAAAAAATTACGTTTTTTCAAGGAATCAGTCATGAACTAAAAAGTATTATTATAAAAATACTCTTTTAAAAAAGTACTTGTTTAGATAAGCTTACCCTTTTTTATTTTTTTTTACAATATCAGCACCATTAACTTTAATGCTATCCCCTCTCGATGACGTAACTAATACATGTACCCAAGAATCGTCTGTAATATCGCATCTTCAAATTATACGTCGTAACACTCATCGATTACTTAAACTTATTAATGCTTTATTACAAGTATGTTATACGTAAATATCGCAATCATTAATGTGTAATCATCTTTATTAATACGTAATAATATATCTTCATTATAATAGTTTTCAAGTATAGAAACTAATCAATTAAAAGTAAATTATTGTGAAACAAATATAGCTGAATTTACTCATGAATTGGCCTCAGACTTTAAAAGTATGGCTAAAACATTAGATTTAAATTATTATATTGATATTCCAAATCCAAATGAATTTGTGGATAATAAAATTTATTTGGATCGTGATATGTATGAAACAATCTTATTTAATCTTTGTAAGCATTTTTTTTTTTTTTTATAAAAAAAAACATTTGTCATAAAGTTTTGATTTACTAAAATGTTTAATGAACATTTTTACTAAGGCATTTTGTTTATTATTAATAATATTTTTATTAATTATAAGGTTCAAATGCATTCAAGCATACTTGGAATGGACAAATAACCGTTCGATTATATTTTGATAATATGTACAAGAAAAAAAAGACGGTAGTCCTTGAAGTGTCTGATACAGGTTAATACTATCTACTAAATTTAATTAATAAATATCGAATCTGTGTTTAATATCTATACCGATATACATCATCATTTAGGAGTTGGTATTCCGGAATCTGCCCTTCCAAATATATTTCAGCGTTTTTATCGCGTAGAATCTCAAGGTGCACGTAGTCATGAAGGTACTGGAATAGGACTTGCGCTCGTCAAAGAACTTATTACACTTCATGGTGGAGATATCACAGTAACTTCTATAGTAAATCAAGGAACGACATTTAAATGTTGGTTTCCAATAGGATGTGAAAACTTATTAACAGATCAAATACACTCTAATAAATTAGAAAATCAAATAAGTCATGATCGAGAATTATACAATAATCGACAGCTTTATTTAGAAGAAAGTTCTCAATGGATGAAATCTGAAACTCAAGATATTAATATTAGTCAATATTCAATCGATAATCAGAAAATTGAGAATGTTGGTACTGATAAAATAACAATAAACGATAGAATATACAAAGTCTTGATTGTTGATGATAATAATGACATGAGGTAATTTTTTTCATTATTAGTCAAAAAAAAAAAAAGATTCATATTTGTGTAAAATGCTGTTTCTTATTATTGAATATATTTCATAGAAATCATTTGGCAGACCTGTTAAAAGAATTTGAGGTATATCGTGCTTGTGATGGTCAAGATGCCATACGAACATTAAAAACGCTTAAAAAATTACCTGATTTAATACTTAGCGGCAAGTAATAAATATTGTAATTTTATCACGCGTGTAGCATAATATATATATATATATAATAATTATTTCATTTATATGCTTTGAACTTGATACATACTATAGATGTCATGATGCCAAATATGGACGGTTATGAGTTAGTAAATGTGTTAAGATCTGATGTAAAAACTCAATTAATTCCCATAATTTTATTATCCGCAAAAGCTTCTGAAACTTCTAAAATTCAAGGTAAGTTTAAATTATTAACTTATACTGAATTATTTTCTTTATCTGTTTTTGTTTTAAATATATTTATTTTAGGTCTGGATAAAGGAGCAGATGATTATTTAGTAAAACCATTTTCAACTCGAGAATTAATTTCCCGTATTCGTGCTAATATTGAATGCTCAATTCTTCGTCGTAAAATAATATTTAATCGATATAAACAAGAAGATATAAAACAATTTTTACTTTCAATAGTAAATATGATTCTTTCCGAATCAGATTTAGATAAAACATTACTTCATATTACAAAGGAAATTTATCGTAGATTACCATGTGAAAAAATCTTTATTATTTCAAATAAGCCATCTAAGAACAATAAAATAGTTGTTCCATGTGAAAATGACTCAGAGGATTTAACACAAATAATTAATCCATTCTCGGAATTTAATGATTATAATAATAATTCACAACAGTTCGCAAAATTAATTGAAAATTCAGGCGTTGATATTTCTTTAGATGTATATTGTAATGATGTTCATAAAAATGTTTCTATATTATCTGTAGAAATAAGGTTAGATAATGATTTTTGGGGATGGATAAAAGTATATAGATCTCAAAATTCTGTTTGGTACAATTCTGAAGTAGACTTTTTACAACAAATATCAAATCATATAAGTTTAGCTATAACTTATGCAAGGTTGTTGGAAGAGATTGATAAAAAAGCTATTCAAATTAAAGCTGCTGAAATTGCTAATAATGCAAAGGCTGAAATATTAGCAAACACTTCTCATGGTATTTATTTTTTTGTCGTTTCATATTATTTTAATATTAATTATTCTTAATTTTATTTTACCTCATTTTTAATCCTAATTTTAGAGTTACGCACACCTCTAAGTGCAATAGTAGGTATTACTTCTTCTTTAGAAGGTACCACCTTAACTATTGATCAAAAGGACATGCTTAATATTATATCAAATGCTGCTGATGTCGTGCTGTCTATAGTTAACGATATTCTTAATGCGGCAAAACTAGAAGCAAAAAAAATTATTCTAGTAGATAGAACTTTTGATTTATTAAATTCACTTGAGAGCACAATTTCTATATTTGGAAAAAAAGCTTGTGCTAAAAATATTGAATTAATTGTTAATTGCGAGGTAGATAAGTTGCCGAGATATATTAAGAGTGATCCTGAGAGGTGATTTAACCAATGTATTTTACATAAAATGATTTAAACTGGTATAGTAATACATAATTCTTACTCACCTTATCTCTTATTAAAATAGGTTGAACCAAGTTTTAACCCATTTATTATCAAATTCGTAACTATTTTTTTTATATTTTGATTGCTATTATTCATCACCACATAATTTTTATTTATTTTCAGAAAAATCGTGTGGTGATGGCTATAGAAACGAGTTTATTTTTTAATCTTATAGCTATTATATAATAACTTATTTTAATTTATTAGAGTCAAATTTACTAATGAAGGTGAAATAATACTGACAATTTCAACGCAATCACGAGAATTCATTGAAGAAGATCAAGTGGTTAAAAAAGAAATGTTGTTAATTGAATTATATGATACCGGTATTGGGTAAGTTGCATGTAATTACTTGTGATTATATACTTTATACAGTATTTTAGCATTATATAATTTTATTTAATAAAACTATAATAGCATAAATCCAGAATATTTAAAACATGCTTGGGAAAGTTATTCACAAGGTGACATGTCAATAACTAAAAAGCAAGACGGTACAGGGCTTGGACTCTCAATCTGTAAAAATTTAGTAGAAATTAATGGAGGTGAAATTAAAGTAGAAAGTCAATTAGGAATAGGAAGTAAATTTTCATTTACATGGAATATTGAAATATTACAAATGACATCTTTATCAACAGAGACTCAATTTAATGAACAAATAAGTTACGTATTACCTTATTCTATAAGAAAAAAACGAATATTAATAATTCATTCAATCGAAAATATGAGAAACTCTATATTGAACTATTTTAAAAGAGTTGAAAAAGTTGATACATTTGATACCTTTGAAAAAGGTATTAAAGCAGTAAAAGATATATATAATCGATTTACTTATGATATAGTCTTTATCGGCCTTTGTGAAAGTAACAAAAAAGAAGTTATAAATTTTATTTTAGAATTAAAAAAATTGTTGATTGGTAGTAATAATTTAGCAATAATATTTATAACATTTCCAAGTAATGAAAGAATTATGTTAGCAACAGAATTAATGGAGAAATTTTTAGGAACTTCTGTTATTTATACTCCAATTACATGGAATAAGTTAATTAATCAATTTATGCATAAGGAAATAAATTAATAATATTTATGGTATGTAATTTAAAAGGTGCAATAATTAGATATAGCAAGCAGTGTTGTAATAAGCTAATACCAATAGTTGATAATGTGTTTGTACTGTGAATGGCAAAACTGTTATGAACTGCCGCAAGAAATTATTGCGCTACGTGACCCAGAAAACATGATCAAGACCTTATCTAATGCAACTAAAAAATCGCATCCTTGAGAAGCCTGCCCATATGTAAGAAATAATAGAAGCCCATGATAAATGGCCTTTTAAATCGGGATTATGGAGGTTACGCCAAGTTGTCAAAAATAGCTTTCGTGAAAGAAGGATTGATTTAGTATAATGAAAGTGATTGTGGTCGCATGGGATCAAATAAAAAAGTTTCAATCCTGTTATTCTTCTCTTCTCCCCAACCCACATATAAATTATTATAAAAATGTGCTTGGTTTTATAATAAGAATAAGCCAATTATAGTTTTATTGTTCTCATTAATTGATAAATTGTCTCATGTACTCAACGTATAACTAGTACGCCTTAACCTTGTAAAATCATACCACCTCCCCCTTTTGTATATCGTGTGATTAGTTGTTTGCTTTGTGGTGATTGGTTGGTCTGTGTTCCTACCAAATTGCCTTTAACATTATTCTAAGAGATTCTTTATTTGCTCATATTCACTAGTTATAAAAGAGATATTTATACTAATTTAAAGGTAACTAGGCGGCAACACAGACTGATCAATCATTACCAAATCAAATACAAACCATGCAGTATACCCGGGGATTTTATTATTTTTTGTAATGTTTTGTTCCTTGTAGTTTCTTTATTATTTCTGTTATTTTATTTTATTTTATTCTATTCTATTTTATTTTATTCTATTTTATTTTATTTTTTATATTATATTATATATTCTTACCCCACCAATTCCATTTTGATAACAATACCCGTGTTTATTAATAATTCGTCATCTATACCACAATTTCACTGTCTACACATCAACCCGTAGATCAATTCTTCATTAGTTAATTTGTAATACTGCATATCATTCAAATTTCAACAGGTATTGGGACCAAAATGAGAAGGATAGAGTTGAATGAATAAAATTGGTGTGATCTTTGCTTGAAAATCATGTTATATGACATAGTAAGCCATATGTTCCATATCACAATTTCAAGGCAATGACCCAGGTGTCAAATAACCTTTTTTATAAACAAAAGTGTTATAGAAAATCTTCTATCTTCATTCTTCTAATAATACAATTTTTTATTTCAACTTATCAACACATAGATTCTTTCATCTTTTGGCACTCTTATCTATCCCAACCCTGTTGATCTTTTTGTCATCTATTATTTATTACTGACCTATAAATCGAATCATTAACTATTATATTTCAATATTTGTGAATATGGTTAGTTCAAAAGAAATGATCATTCTTTTTTTTAATTTGTTCAATCATATCAATTATTAGTCAGGATTTTTAAAAACTTGAAAGATTATTGGTAGACCAATACTCAATTATTTAGCTCAATGTATCAACCTGTGTTATTTATTAATAGCATTGCTATTTTCTTTTTGTATTTAACTAGGTATTATTTTTTTCATTGATCATCTTTAACCCAAATTTAAAAAATTTATCACTGTTTCTACATATTACTATAATACCATGTATCTAATAAATTTATCCTAATAGCTATTTTTAAAAAATAGTACAGTAAAACCTCTCTAAGTGAACCCCTCTTGGGACCATAGTAAAAAAAAAGCAAAATATGCACTTAAAGAGAGTGTGCATTTATAGAGAACAAAATATATAGTGCTTTTATAAGTTGGGGCTAAGCTATACAATGCATTTAGAGAGAATTTACATAGGGTACACAGTATGTAGTTAAGGTTTAGTTGGTTTGTATTAAAATCAATAAGAAAAGTTTTTGTAAAAAACCCTGCTACAGAATTTGCTATACTAATGACATATAATTTGTATTAGAATTATTATGAGATATTGTAATATAAAAAATTCTGTTATATACATAGTATGTAGTTAAAGTTGTGTTAGTTTGTATTAAAATTATAGTGAATTCTATTATATGCTACTGTAAAAATTCTGATACAAATCTTGCTTATATATTTAAAACACACTGTATGTAATTATGGTTGATGATTTTTATTGCAAGTTATTGTCAGAAATTCTAGAACACAGTATGTAGTTAATATTGAGTTAATTTGTATT